GGTCTCACCAAGTTTCCCAGGCAGGTCTTGAACCCGCGGGCTCAGGCAATCCACTCACCTTGGCCTCCCAAAGCACTGGGATTACAGGCTGAGCCACCGAGCCTGGCCGAGGTTTTGCTCTTAAAGCTTTTGACTGATTAGATGAGACCCACCCACACTTTGGAAGGTAATCGCCTTTACTTAAAGTCAACTGACTGCACATCTACAAAATGCCTCCATAGCAATATACAGACTAGTGTTTTGCTTAAATAGCTGAATACTGTAGCCTAGTTATGTTGACACATAAAATTAACCATCACAGTGTTGCTTCAAACACAGGTGTTTTCAGTTTTGAAAAAGTTTGTCTAATTTTCTTTGGTTGCTTGTGTTTTAGATGTCATCTCTCAGAAATGATTGCTTAACCCAAGGTTGCAAAGATTCACACCTGTATTTTCTTATAAGAATTTTATAGTTTTAACTCTTGCACTTAAGTCTTTGATCTATTTTTGAGTAAATGTTTACATATGGTGTGAGGCAGGGGTCTAAATTCATTCTTTTGCGTGTGATGTCATCTTTTTAAGCCACTCTGTTCAATGAACCCATCGCCTTAAGACTTCAGGGTTCAGAGCCCTTAGAGAGTTTGAACCCTAGTCTGGCCAATTTTGAGCCCCTTAAATGCGGTTCCAGGTCCCAAACTGAGATAAAGCTTAGAGCCTTTGCTCTCAGCCCCTCTGTTGGTGGTTCTGCTTATGCCTTGGAAAATCAGTGGGAGGGGCTGGAAGATTAAGCTCGCTGTTTTGCAGGGAGCATCCATTAACTGATCACCACAAAGTGCCTGGATCATTTGAGCTTATAACGTGGCAGAAGAGGCTGCAGGGACCCACAAAGTCCAGTCCATGGGCCAAATCTGGTCCTCTGCCTGTTTTTGTCAATAAAGTTTTATAGAAATATAGCATCTGTTTGCTTGCCTATTGTCCGTGTTTGCTTGGGTGCTCGAAGGACAGAGTTAAGCAACTGTGATAGAGACTGGATGGCCTTCCAAGCCTAGACTGTTGACTGTCTGGCCCTTTGGAAAAAAACTTAGCTGACCCTTAGTCTAGTGTGTCCAAAATATAATTCTTTGTCATTGTCCAAATAAGAGAACACGGATGTGTAACAGAAGCTATTGGTGCTGCACCAGAACCCCTGGCATCCCTTTTATGTTAGATTGCCCGTGCCCCAGTCCTGTACAAACTGAAGCATCCTCAGAAGGTGTGTCCCTGGGTGAGTGACATCACCCCTCCCATGACTGGCTGGGGTAGGGGGATGCCCCAGAACATGCTGAGGGGTCAGGCTGAAGCTAAACTTCATCTTTAACTGCATTCTTGTGGACTTTTTTTTTTCATTCACAGAAAAAAGCTAGGCAGAAGCTAACTTGAAGGGGCCTCCCCTAACCAGATTCAAAACAACTTGAGTATCTACATGAATCATGTGAAAGGAGATTATAACTCGTTGAATAGAAGGGAAATCTTCACGGTTATAAATAAATCGATAGATAATGGGGAGAAGAGAAAGGTATTACAGCAGAAGGCCAACTTATAAATGTAGAAGAAATGATAGAATTAGAAAGTCACCATTTGGCAACTGTCATAGAAATAACTAATTCTGCCAAGAAATATCAATGGATGCTAAAACTAGGCGGTGGAAGTTTGATGAGGAACAGAGTCCTTACAAAGTCTCAATGTACCCTGTCACAAAGTACTTGTTAATTACAAAGGGGAAAAGAATAACTTTACACGGAGAAACCTGGCAACAGCTACCTTCGTTGAGTGTTCAGCATCACCAGAAATGGGACACATCAAAACTTGTGCGTCACCTGATAGGATTCAAGGAGAAGAACACAGCAGCACTTCTATGGTGATTCCTGCCAGGCACATAACTTGAATCTTATAATGGAGAAACATGAGGCAAACCAAAACAGAGGGACGTGCCACCACATACCTGGCT